TTGATTTATTATTTTAAACTATGAACTTTTTTAATAAAACATGTCCTTTACATTACTAAATTCTTTAAATTTTTTTGGATTGTAAGGTATATTAGAGGGCTACAGATATAGCCCCTTTATAGAAATTCTGCTTCAACGAGCCTATATACTATATCTTTAAATTTAGTCCTTAAAGTTTCTCAGTATCTTTTAGCTTTTTATTTTAACCAATAAAGTGTTTGAGCATTTTTACTTTTCTTAAGCATTAATAATCAATTGATTAAATTTATCCCTTTGAATTTCGTCATTTAATTTATTTGAGTAATAAAATAAGTTGTAGCTTTTTAGGTAGAAATTAATATTTTAAAAAAAATAACAAACTTGAGTTATATATATGAAGCATTAGTGAAATAAACCATTTTTCCAATACGTTTTAGGCGATGTCATTTTAAGGTGTTCTTTATATTTATCAGATAACATTGTATTTTTATTATTTTAAACTTATGGATTATAAACTTAAGTTGATCTTTTAGAAGTAAAAAAATCGATTATAAACATAATTCAAATTAGACAACAATTATACCTTCAATTTTAAATAATTACAAATATTGAGATAATTTATAATTTAAAATTGTATAGATCAATTTTAGTGATATATATCTAAATATTAATCTAAGTAACGAGTCAATAAAATTGCTTTTTTAAATTAATAGCTTAAAGGTATTTAAAAGATAGTACAGTTAACATCATAACATTGGCTCTAATCTAACTTCTAACAATAGCTTGCTATAGCGTTAAAACTATAGAAATGAATATTAACGATTAAGACAATACTATGACTTAAAGAATATTTTTGATATTAATTTGTAGAACAGTTAAGGTAAGGTTAAAAATAGCATATAAAATAAATGATTCAAATCAAAATGATGTTTTTAAAACAAATTCTAATTGATAGGTGTATAGAAATGGACTTGAAACTGTTAAAATTCTACTATCATTCAAAAATAAACATAAAGGTTCATACAAATACAAAGAATTTTAGAAAACAAGTCTTATATTTGACTTCAAAATATACTGTAATAGACCATAACAATGAATAAATATTCTAAATCTCTCTGTATTTCTAATATATATGAGTTCGAGTTCTAAACAAATGGCTTAGAAAGTTCCGATTGGATCAAGCAGATCTAAGCCAATCCCTTAAAGAATTCAGGGATAACTGAGCCAATCACCATGAGTAAAAACTAATTAAGCTTCCAAGCGCCAATCAAAACTAAGCTCTAAAAATTTGAGGTATATAAACCAGAGGCTTAGCTTCGAGCTTGTCACTTTTTAGATGCATAATAACTTAAGGATGGAGAATAGAACGATAGGCATTAGTGGTAGCGCACGTTTGTTTTGCGGCAAATGTAACAAATACTTTCAAACTGAAAAATCCTTCAACTGGCACAACATTAAAAAACACTTTAGTAAAAATTTTCAAAAAAATAACGATGAATTGGTGTATACCCACTACGAACGTTGGTGTTACCCCATCCGTTTAAAGTTGGACGATATAGATGATAATATTGATAATCCTATTCCTCCCCCGCCAAGTCCCTTGCTTACGCCTACCAAACCAAATACTGTGATTCCAGGTGCTCCCCTAGGCGCAAAGCTCAGGGATACTTCAACAACAGTCATCGTTAACAATGAAAAAAGATATACATGTCATTTATGCGATAAATCATTTAAACAAAAAGTGCACCTAACACGTCATATCAAAGAACATTCAGGGACAAAGCCATATTCGTGTAAAATATGTTTTGTATCATTTAAACGGTTGGAAAATTATAATCAACATGTACAGAGCAAAAGGCATCAATTTACTAAAGCAAAATTGGAAGAGAGTGCAGAAGCTGGTGCGAAAGTTGCTTAAGGGCTGATAGTATAGGATCTGAATAGTTTTTTATTTTATTATTAGTGTTGTTTTAGTATAATAAAGTTATATTTTTCTGCTTTATATGAAGTTAGTTTACTCCACATCGTTATTTTTTTTTAAAATTAAGGGATGTTAATTGAAGGGATAAAAGGCTTTTTCATTAGTTCTTTGAAAAATAAACCTCTGTTATATTTTTAGCTCAGTTTATGGCTATTTTTAGTTTTATTGGTTTATTTTGAAGGCGAAGTCCAATAAAGCATTAAATATACTTTGACTTAAAATTTATTCTAGTTCGTTTGGTTTCAGGTTTCACCCCAGGCAACTCCTTTATTTACATCGTAATATATATCTATACTGCGCTTCTAATATCGTACTTGTTTTGTTTCTTGTGGATTATGAAGCATGTATATGGTACTGTTTATACTACATATGTTTTTTTAGTACACTGATAGAAAGAAAGGATTAAAAGAATGAGGAGGGGTATCATTAAATTAATTTTAATTTATAATAAAACAAAGTAATTTCCGGTAAAACAAATATATGAACTCATTATTATAATACTCGAAATAAAAACAAGTTTTTTAAATAATTTAAACTCATTTATTAGATAATCTAAGTAAAGAGGGTGGCTTATTTAAGTTAAACCTCACTGTTATTTTTACGAAAAAATATCTTATAAAATGAAAGGAAAATAACTTTGATTTCACACACAAATCTTTAGATTAAATTAAACAAATAATAAAAGCAATAGTGTACGATTGTATTAAATAATTTTTTAATTACAAATCGTAGTTGGATTGGTAGATAAAGATTTTAGTTCATAAAGATAAAAACTAGAAAATAACTTCAATATTTAAACTAAAAAACCAATTTCGAAGCTTATATAAAGTTGATATCTCATACTTTAAAATTGATAATAGTTTTATTTGCTTTAATATTTAGTATAGCTTTATTGTAATTGAGAGTAAATATAGCATATAACAAATATAATGTTTGTTCAATTAAATAGCAATAATAGCAAGTAACAGTTTATGCTTATATATAATTGGCTAAAAACTTGAATGATACAACTTACATCATCAAAACCAGTCTAAAGTTAAAAATCAAAAGATTTTTTGTTATAATACACAAATATACAGAATGAGCGGTCCATTTGGAATACCAATATTTTTACTAACAGATAGTTACAAACTATCTCATCCCTATCTGTTCCCAGACTCGAAGAAGGTAAAAAGGTTTTTAAATAATATCAAACCTTATTTAATAATCAATATAAAGATGGTAGCCTATAGTTCATTTCGACAGAGTTATAATAAAGGTTCGGATGAAAGGATTATATTCTTTGGATTGAGATATTTTATAGAGAACTATATAGACAAGCAATGGTCTTTGGAAGATTTAGAGAAAAGCAAAAGGTTTTTCGAAACCCATAACGCTGGATTTACAAAGTTTCCATTCCCTGAAGAATTGTTTTTAAAGATGATCAATGAAAACAATGGTTATTTTCCAATTTCTATTTATGCCTTGGAAGAAGGGACCGTTGTTTATCCCCATGTACCAGTTATGGTTATGGTGGCAGAAGAACCTTATTCTGGACTGATCACTTACTTAGAAGCTTTGTTAACAATGATTTGGGTAAATTTTAATTATAAGTATTATACTTTATACGTAACTAAGGATAACAATTAAAAGTATCCATGTACAGTAGCAACCTTATCAAGACAATGTAAAACGATTATTGAAAAAAGTTTTGAAAAAAGCGTTGATAAAGAAAAAAACTTTTTAATAAATTCAAGGTTACATGATTTTGGGTTTCGAGGCTGTACTTCAGTAGAGCAAAGTATCTTGGGTGGCATGGCTCATCTGGTAATTTAATTCGTAGTTTTTGTTTTACTGTCTTTATTTTTATTTTAGTTAAACTTTGAAGGTTCTGATACTTTATCAGCTGCCTATTATGGCCAATTTAACTGGAACAATGGGGCTCCAATAGCAAGCTCGATACCAGCAACAGAGCACTCGGTCATGACCAGTCATCTCAATGAGAAAGTAGGTTAAAATGATACCTGTTTAGATAGTACATTAACGTTGATTTAGCAAGCCATCTTAAAAATGATAGAGAAATTCGGAAGCGGAGTGTTTGCCTGCGTGATGGATTCGTATGATTACAAAGTAGCATTGGAAAAAATATTACCAGAGATAGCAAGTGAAAAAGTAGGCAAAGGAGGGTTTATGGTCTTAAGACCAGATTCTGGAGATCCAATTAAAACTGTTTTGATGGCTTTGAAGTAAACTTCCTTTTGATTTTGTCTTTAATGATCTGATTTTTTTAGTGCTGGCGATCAGGTTTTTGGTTCTACAATAAACAGTAAGGGCTATAAAGTAAACTTAGGATATTAGGATAAATCTTGACAAACAAATTAACAAATGTAAAAGGTATTGAATGGCTGCGGGGTGATTCAAGGCGACGGTATCGATATAATCGTATTAGAAAAGATATTAGATGCTGTAATAGAAGCTGGCTACTCTAGTGAAAATATAGCGTTTGGCATGGGAGGTGGGTTGTTACAAGTAAGTTTAATAGCTGTTCTTACTTTACATAAACAATTTAATATGATAGAAACTTAACAGAGACACTATGAGTTTTGCTACCAAACTGAGCTACATTAAGGAAAAAGATGATTCAGTAAGATTAATAGCCAAGTTACCGAAAACAGATACAAGTAAATTTTCGTTGCCTGGGCAATTTATGGTGCTCCTCGATTCTAACAACGTAATTTTGTATTTTATTGAATTGATCTTGAACTAAATACATTATTAGTTGCCTAAAGTATATCCTAAACCAGAAGATCAAGTAGAATACGAACAAAAGTATAAATCTAATGATTTGTTAAAATTAGTTTATAATGGCACCAAAACAGATAAACAATGGTTGACGTTTGACCAACTCAAAACTAATATAAATCAACATTGGAATAACTGCCCTATTAAATTTGAGCCCATCTCTGATCAGATTAAAGAACTCCAAAACCAGTTAAAAAATAAATAGTCATTCACATCAGTATTAATTTACTTTATTATTTAAATGATGTAAAAAAATATATGCTCCTGGCGGGGTTCGAACCCGCGACCTTCGCGTGTCTTAAGTATAACTTTAAATTATAAGCACGACGCATTAAACCACTTTGCTACAGGAGCTAGTTTGGTGGAATTTAATTTTTTAAATAATATATAAATTGGATAATCTCTACTTTTTGAAATGAAAGTCAAAAACATTAAAAACAGAAGTGTAATAGACATAACATTAATAGTCGATTATAAATTAGGGTATGTCACACTTATTAAAAAGGATGTGATGTAATAATGTTAATAAATTTTAATGTTTGGTCTTTACCAATTTACTATAGTTTTATAGACTGTTTGTTGCTCTTAGTTATTTTTTTACATCACTGAAACAAAAATATTAAAATCAAACTTTAATATAGCTTTAAAAGACATACTTCTGTTTGTTAGTTTTATTTCCTTAAAATAATTTTAATTTTAATGAAAGTTCATTTTAAAATAGCAATCGACATTTTTAAAATTAAAATTTATTTTTAACTCTTTTAAAAATAAAGCTTTGACTTAACGTCCCTTGAGGGTATCAAATTGCTCTCTTTCTTTAAACTCCTTTTCAACTTCTTCGATAATTGGTAAAAGGTAAGGTTCATCCTAAACAAAATAAAATGAATAATGTTCCTTTTTTCATGCTCCTTTCAGAGTTCTATAATTTTTAGGAATATTGAGAAAAGTCTTTACCTCGCTTGGCTTTGTCCATTGGTCTCTTGGGAGTTCGGCTTTAGCAGTCGAAAGTCCAAAGGCAACTTTGAGACGATAAGCACGGTCTGAAGCTTGTTTAGCTGGTAAACGTCTTAAAGCTTCTTTAACAACATCATTTTCTTCAACAATTAAATCGTCATATTTTAATCCTTTAATATTTTTGATCATTACTCAGTTCTATTTAAATAAATTAACAATTGAATTACCATATCTACGATATCCTGAAATATCTGGATAAATGTTGGCAAAAGGCTTTAAGATTGAAGTAAATAATTTGGACTCGGTAACTACTTTTACGAAATTCATCTTTTTTATACTGTTGTTGAATTAACCTTTATTTATTCATTAGTAATTATTGTATCTAAGTAAAAGTTTATGCTTACCAAAGAAGCTAACAACCTAATTCTAAAGTTTACAATTTAAAATGAATTTTTTATTAGTCTTATCTGCTCGATTATCTTTGATCAAATAATACTAAGGTGTGAAATTATGTTTTTAATTGACTAATCATAGATGATAAAAATACCATAAGCCTTATATCATTGGTTGCTGCCGGGAAATACTTCAGCCCTTTAAGCGAATGGAGCCACCTTTGGAATATTGCAAACAACTGATTGGATGTTTCATTATCAACTTATTTCAACCAAAAAATTAAAATCCCATTGTTAGCTTTAACTTCTTTGGATCATTTTTGGATCAAATTTAAATCTTTAATTAAGCTTAATGTAGCCTATAAAGTAGCATTATTACAATGATGGAGTCAGCTATTGGAAATTAAAAGTAGCTTAAAAATCGTTTAAACCAGACTATGTAATAAAAGAATAACATAGTTGTTTAAACATTTTGAGTTTAACGCAGTTATATTTAGTATCCAGTTGATGATACTGAAGAATTCTGCTTACACATGATTAACTAAGATAAAGCTCTCAAAAGAAGTTTTTCTTGTGTCATAGCTATAATAAGTTGAAATTTACATAATGGTATTGGAATGCAAAGCTGGATCGTTGAAATGAATAATGCCTTTTCACATATTTAGATTTGAAATTGTCTAGTGTCTTTATAAAAAAATTAATAATGCTATTGAGCACAAAATTTAATTTAAACCCAGAATATCTAGGTAAAGTCGGAAGTCGCTTTATAATATGTGAGCTAAGTTTTATAAAAATGTCTTTATATAAAGTTCAAGCATTTATAACTCTAATATAATAAACTAAAATGATAGAGCCTTAAATTGTACCAGGTTTTATATTGTTAATCTATACAAGTTATGGGTTATGTTCATAACTCTAATTTTTTAATTAAATGTCATGTCAAACATTTTTGTTTATTGGAATATATGATTATTTTAAAAGTTGTAAAAAGAGATTGAGTAATTAATTACGCTATTTCAACTTTTTACAAAATATTCAAATTAAACTGTTTTCAATATTTATAAACAAAATCTTTTAATAAACTACATAATTCAAGTAGTAGTTATATCTTTTCAGTAAATTTGAAGTCCATATATTTTTTCATGATATATGGGGATATATTTTGTGTCTAGAGATTTTACTAACGATTTCTCCGCTCAAATAGTGCTTAAAAGATGAAAAAAGTAATGAAATAAAAAAACACTCCAATATATTATAAATAGTCCAAAGCATATTTGATATATTTAATTTTTATTTATTGGCTTTTTTATATCGTGAAAGAGTACTAAGGCTTAAAGGTGTCTATTAGCAAAACAAAACAACTAAGGAATCAAGGGAATGGAAATAGAGACCATAAGTAGGAGTGTTTCTTCTGCTTTTCTTTTTAGCTAATTGGATTAATACCTTGAAATAATTTTTATTAATTTTTAGTTTTTTAGAATAATTTTATTTAACACTTGCCCAATTTGGGTTCGAAATTTTTAAAAAATTTGCTTTGAAAGTACAAAAGCAAGTTGTCTTTTGAAAATTTCATGATAAAATAATTATGGCATTTATTTAATACAATACAAAAGACTCTCTTTACTATGATAAATAAGAGTATATAATATTATTTTTGATATGTATCATTATCTATATTAGGATATCAGTTCAATATTACCTTTACTAACTGTGTATCTTATATTAAAAAAACGACATTGATTCGTTAAAATCGGCTAATAAAAAGGAGTGAAATAACATGAAAAAAATGACTAAAAAAAGCAAATTAATTTCAAATCACTCAAACAACTAAAGATTGAGATTACAGTTGTAAAAATGATAGTAACAGCTAAGAAAAAGAATAACGTTAAAAGGATGGCTTTTAATGAGTAGTTTTAAATAAAAATCAGGTTGGGGAAATGAAACAACAGAAAAAAAAGTAAAAGTTAAAGGTTAAAGTTAAATTTGGTATAAATTTGGAGTATAACAGATCGTTAAATAGGATAGCAAAGAAAAGGTAGTAACTGAAAAAAACAAGTCAATTAAATAATGATATTAATATTAAAAATTTCCTTTGTTTTAAATATTTAAAATAATAATATTACTGTATTGTTAAATTAGAAACTAAAAGTATCTTTCTTTATTTCTTTTGTTATTAAATTCACTATGAGGAACTTGGAATTAAATATGGGGGAGATTGGGGAGTGCTTGATTGATATGATTACTGACGAAGATATAACCATGGATAAAATACAGAATTTCATTGAAAAGGACGTTAATGGAAGTATTTATACTATATTAAACTATAAGATTAACCAAAGTGAACAATTAAAGAAACAATTCCCAAAAGAACACCTTAAGGATGCCCAAATATTTTTAGGATTAAACTTTAAGGATTTGAACTTGATTCAATTTATGATATTACAATTAGAAGAAGAAGAAGAAGAGCTAATCATTTATTTTATAAAGTATTTGATTAAATTATTTCAGTATTATAATTCAGTGCTATACTTGGATTTAGACGACTTCTTATTACAATTGGTGTTTTACCAATGCTTTGACAAGAATACCATTTTACATTATGCCTCTTTTTTTACAATGTTAGATTTAGTAGAGCTGTTGTTAAAACTAGGCTCCAATCCTAACTTAAAGAATTGTTTAAAATACACACCAGTAGATTGTGTTGATAATAACGACCTGCGTAATTTATTTTTTAATTTAAGTGAGCAAAAGAATTACTTTGCATTAAAAAATAAAGAGCAATTCTTAATCAAATTAATAAATAATAACATAAATAATAATAACACCATGAGCAGCAATAATTCATCGAACACATCATTAAGTTCATCCAAATCTATTTTAAAATATAGCAATAATAACAACAATGTAAACAGCAGTGCCAATAGTATTAAAATCAAGAAAAAGGTACAGTTTGACAATAACACTCTGCTAACAAATTCGATTAAAAGTAAGGATATATTATTTATTAAACAATTAATAAGTGAACAGCCAAGTATAATTAATCAATTAAATAAATATATGAATTATAAAAATGGGGACACATTGATTCATTTATGCTGTAGATATCAATTAAATAAGCTATTAAATTATTTCCTAAAGTTAAATCTATTTAACATCAATCAACTAAATTATAATTCATTCACCCCATTTCATATAGCGATTCAGATGAAAGATTTAAATTGTATCAACTTATTACTAAACCATCCTTCATTTAGTAAACAAATTAATATTTTGAATTGCCACTTTAATTTGTTAAATTTATCAAATGATCCTATTATCTTGAAGTTGTTAACTAAATTGACTTACACTGTGTATTCTTATAATAATAATAATAATAATAATATCAATTCATCCATACCTCCTATTTTACCATCAAATAAATATCCACCTGCTGTTAGTCCTAATACCAAAAAGAATAATATCATTGGTCATAGTAACCCTGTTACTCCTAGCCACGGAGGAAATAGCAATAAACAATCACATAACAATAAAGTAGCACTTGTTTATAATATAAATACTATTAAAATGAAGAATACTGCTAAGAATACTCATTGTCATCCACCATTACCTCATTCTGATCCTTTTGTTAATTTATTCATAAATGAACCTTAATTATCATTATCTATAAAATTAATAAAATTTTAAATATTTAAAAATGGTTGTTTTTACATTTAGTGCTATTCAGCCAAAATTACAAAGTTAATTACTTCAAAGAATACTAACAACCCTTTAGAAACAAAGTTTTTTGAATGCAGATATGTGGTGAGAGGTGATTTTAAGCTCCGATCCTTGTTTATTTTCAAAACATGAACAGTATAGTATTTCCAAAAAAGTTAGTAGGACTACTTATTTGAATAAATTTTAAAATATGATCTTCTTAAAGTTTAGACTTAATAAGATTGAGATAACTTGGTCATCATATACTTTATAGTGTTCATACAACTTTGGTATAGAATTAAATATAGTAAA